ACGTTTGGAGAAGTGTAAATTCTTCATGCCTTCTGTGAAATACCTTGGATTCATCGTCGATAGACATGGTCGTCGCCCCGATCCCTCCCGTCAGAGATGGAACGTGTTGCCACCACGGGTAATTCCCGTAAGCTGTTTTATCTCATTCGGGTCACTGGCAGGAAAGCCTTGGGTGTGAGGGAAACTGACGGTTCGCCTATTCACAGTCAACGGCGACACCTTGCACGCTGGGCGGACTACTTCAAAGCACAGTTTAGCTGGCCTCCAGCGTCAGCCTTTTACACAGCTATTCCGGCACTCATCCCATGGTCCGTTTAAAAATACCCACTTTCTGAGGCGAAAACTCCGTAAGGGGATCCAAGTCTTGGGACATCACAGAGCGTCCGGCTCCGATGGCCTTTCCCCAGTCCTATTTAAAGACGGTGGTATTAAGCTTGTTAGATAACTAGAAGTTCTGTTCTCTAAAGTTTGGAACATTGAGCAGGGCCCTTGCTGGTGGGGGGAATCGATTGTCGTCACCATCTTCAAAAAGCGCCCGCACAGTGACTACGCCAATCATAGGGATATAACCCTTAAGCCAACAGCGTCAAAGCTGTTTGACCGTTGAACCGCTTGGCGATAGATGTATCCAGGTATGGTATGCGCTTTGCACATTTTAAGTGCAAATTGCTTGTTCAAAACTGGCAGAAGCCTGTACCTGCACTCATCCTCTGTGGTGATCAGCTGTACGTGGTCGAGAGCTTTCAGTTTCAGTTTGAACAACCATTAACCACGCATATTCGAGCGCCGGTTTTGTTTGCTGTTTTCTGGCTGGCCATTGGGATGAAGAATAGGAGAAGAACGGAAAGTTGAAACTGGAGTCGAAAAGAAAATAGAGAAGTTCAGTGGTCTAAGGTTGCAAAGAAATTGAGGAGATGTACGAACGCCACCCAGCCATATCGCTCAGTGTCTCTAACCATCGGTTACGATCATCCCGAGGTCTGCAGCCAGGGAGCCTAACAGGACCTATGTGACCCAGTTTCCCGTTGAGGGTTTTCATACCCTCGTGCCAGGTCTTAACTTGGCCACCTTAGGCTTTTTTCCACTCGGTATCTGCTTTGGCGAACATCGCTCGCTCGTGGTAACCTACCTGGTGACATGCGTAACACATGTCCCAGACAACGTAATCTGTGGAGGTCGACCACTTGCTCCAGTGGGCGACCGTATTTACCCCTAACCTCAGCATTGCTCATCCGGCTACCCCACCAGATTCGTGCAATACTACGTAGACAGCGGTGTTCAAACACATACAGTCTGTCTTTATCTTGTTTTCCTAATGGCCAAGTTTCCGCACCGCAGAGCAGAACTTGCCGAACTGTCGCAGCATACACTCGACTCTTCACAGACAACCGGATGTCGCGACGACGCCACAGATGTCTCAGGTTAGCAAATACCAACCGAGCCTTCTGTATGCAAGCTGACTCTTCATCCGTGATGCTTCCACGGGGTGAGATGTAGCTGCCCAAATAACAAAACTTATCCACCTTCTCTATTACTTCTTCAATAAGAGTGAGTTTGGGTGTTGCACCAACCCAGTCTTGTAGCAACATTTTACACTTTGAAGGTGCAAAACGGATACTGAATATGGCTACACTGGCATTCAAGTTATCCAGAAATGCTTGCAAATTACCTGGATCTTCACTTAGTAGCGCAATGTCGTCTACATACTCCAAATCAGACAGCCTGCCACCTGGAAGTAAATCGATGCCACTATCCTCGCACGAGGATAGGGCTGTTTCCATAATCAGATCTATAACAAAGTTAAATAGAAAATGAGAAAGAGGGCAACTCTGACGAACACCACTTTCCGTGGTGAACTCGGGAGAAAAAGTGCCGTAAACCCGGACTCGACTTCGGCTATTAGTATAAAGCGATCGTAATATTGAAATAAACTTCTCGGGCACACCTTTCAGAAAAAGACAGCACCAGAAGTTAGAGTGGTCGACTGAGTCGAAAGTCGCTTTTAGATCTAGGAAGACAGGGATGGTGGGCCTACGAAAAGAATGCCGGTGCTCCAGAATTTGGTGCAGAGTGAAGATGTGGACGATACAACCTCGACCGGGTCTAAAATTAGCCTGGTTCTCACGCTTACACCGTTTACGTGCGGCAGACAATGGGCGGAGTGTGATGCCAGCGAGAAGTTTAGAGATGATGTTGATTAAACTAATCCCTCTATGATTTTCACAAGAGGATCTATCACCTTTCTTGCTAATCGGTATGATCACCGATTCCCACCATTCAGCTGGAACCTCCTCTCTTTCCCATACTAAGCCCCGGAGTTTTGTCGAGAGCTTTGAGTACCTCGGGAGCTTCATCACAGTTGGTGGGGGTGTTAGGAAGGAGATTACAACACGAATAGCGAAAGCTAGACCAGCTTTCGCCAACCTGTGGCGCCGCCGTGACATCCGACTGTCCCTTAAGGGAAGGATGTACATCGCAGCGGCTCGTAGCGTTCTCCTTTACGGTTGCGAGACCTGGCCCCTCCGTGTTGACGATACTAATCGACTTTCGGTATTTGACCACTGGTGTCTCCGAAGCATTGCTCGTGTCTGGTGGGAACACCGGGTGAGTAATGAAGAGGTTCGTCGTCGTGTGTTGGGTGTGGATAGTCGTTCCCTGACCGAAGTAATCGCTCTGCACAGCCTCCGATGGCTTGGTCACGTATTGCGTATGCCTGCCCATCGACTACCCTTCCGTGCTCTCTTCTCACGTGCCGGGCATGGCTGGAAGAACTGGCGTGGCGGTCAGATCATGACATGGGCTACAGGTATGAAGAAACTGGCTTCGGTTGGTGCAGCCAGCTTTCCAGGTTGGGGCCCACGGGATGACGATTGTCGCTGGTTAGAGACGCTCAGAGATCTGGCTCATTATAGAACTTAGTGGCGCGAATGATGTACGGTCTGTCTGCCGAAATCCTCTGGTCCGAAAAAATAACAAAGAACACAAAAAATATCAAGCAGTGTACGGTGAAGCACAAAAAGTTTGTTATCCCAGTTATCTTCCATTTTCCCGTACTTAACTGTTTCACCCTCTTTCCACTTTGCTCTGTACCCCAATCCACATATCACCTATTATTGTTGTTATTTTTGTTGTGGCGTTGGCACCATGCTTGTTCACAAGCCGGTGTAAAATAATATGCATATACTGTGGACATCCGTTCAGGTGGCGGTTTTGTTGCGAAGGTTTACTATATGTATGCGGAATCCGGCCAATCAAAGCAAGATCCCTATCGATTGTTTTGATCACTGAGAGCGGCTGCTTTGGGTCTGCCACAGTCAGTGGCGGCTGATGTCCATATGTTTGAACTGAGTGCATCGCTGTGAAGTTTTGGGGTTTTTCCATGTGAGGTTGTATTATATTTCCTGGGATCGGTTGATGTTTGACAATAGCTATCCGTGGTCAATGCAGTGTTGTAGTCAGTTATATCCGTTATGTTTCCGGTCGGCTGGGATTACCTGTTCTTTTCCTGCGTATTTTTCTGCCTCTTCAAGGGATCCCGTTCGAGCATTGGTGTGGGACGATTAGTGAAATTTCCAAATTTACTGTTGGCACACATCGTAAGAAAAGCACCCATCCACTCCGAGTGATGTCTGAGGATCGAATTGTGTTCAACATCTGTTCATGGGACTGGAGTATGGTTATTTTCTTTTCTCTCGCTCTGAACATGTACTGGATTCTTCTACTATTATTGTGATGTACATTCTGATGTATTTGCCTCTGGATGATGACCTCAAATGAGCTTGTTCTCAACTATGATTTTACAACTAGAAAAGTTGTCGAATCCGACTGGGAAGCAGGAACCTTTCGCACTATCCAAAGGCGGTACCCAAGATCACCAGATAATTGTGTATCAGGATGTGAAAATACACTGGAATGTGTAACTGATTACACCTCTACCCGGTGTACATAATCTCAAAAATTGTAAGCCGAGCAATAACTAACAATAACAGAATTTATCTGCGAGTGCTTTGAGGTCTCCTGTCTCTTCTATTCCATGTAATAAACTAATCACCGTGTTCAGTTTCGCAATGTCTTGGCCGAAACCACAGTCATATGCGAAACACAAGATCGAGCGAACAAGAGCACACGCAAATAAACAAACGAAGTATCACCTCTACCTCTATGCTTCGTGTTTCATAAGCTGCACTGGTACATTGATAAGTTGAGATATGTTGTGCAGCTCATCCGGTGTTCTGCTTTCCTACTTCGCATGAATGAATTGTTCCAGTTTCTTCTTACTCTGTTGTTATACACTATGGTGCAGAGTTTGCCAGCAAGAATTTCAAATTTATTCATTTCACTGCACGTGGAAGTCTACAGGACCAGAGATGTGCCATGTTCGCTGAATCTGTGATACGTGCTAGCGCGGTGCAATGGTCGTGCCATTACTGAAGGTCAATCTCGCTGCCCTTCCGTGATTAAGATAGATCCGTCACACATTTGCAGCGTGAAATACTCATGTTAACAGTCGGAGCAAATATTAATGACCGTAAGTGGTTACCTAGACGTTAATCGAAGCACTACATGTTTTCTTCTCCCTCAAAAAGGAATGCTACTTCCGCTTTTTGGCAATTAAACTGGAGGGTTACAAAAAGTTAGTGAATAATTATTTGAACGATTTTTTGTGTCTCTAGTGTTTCCATGCTACCCGTACACATCTGGTGAACGAAGCTATTATTTATTCCAGTGAGCCCAATCTGTATTGTCCTTTTCATTTCTGAAATACCGCGCAACAGCTATGCGTACAGTGGCGGAGGACGTGGTATTTTGTCTGTCCGCGTTTCAATTGATGGTGGGAAAACATGGCACGAAGCGGAACTCCAACCGGTCAGTCCTCCAGCCGGAATCGATCCATCCGAATTGGACGAAGAAGATCTAGCTATGGCGCATCGCACGTCTGGTCAATGGGCTTGGACAATATGGCGGGCTGACATCCCCATACCCGGTAGTTTTTTCGGAAATCTGTTTGTAATTGAATTTTCAAAGTTGTGATGTGAAACCATTTACAATAAACAAATAGCACAATGAGGTTCAAAAAACCGAATACTCAGCTGAGCAAATCTGAACATCTTGGTTTTATTTCACATTTTGTTTAATGAATACCATTGATGCGTGTCGGACCTTTTCATTGTCTTAAGCGTTTTTGTCTTACGATTTAGGAATTCTATTAGAAAATGTAATTTATATGGACTTGGATTGGCTAAACACTGAACAGTTTGATTTCCTTCTCATTGTCCTCAGGATTAGTGACCATGTTGTCAAATGCTTCCAAACAATCCCAAGTTCGTTCGTAGAACGCATGTTGATAACCACGTGATCCGTAATTCGTTGTTCATGTGATTGATTGCGAATTTCTGGTCGGTTCTATTGGAACTGTATAGGCAAGGCGCTGGTGCATATCCGGATCAGTCCTCATATTGTACTGCTATGTTTGATATCTGATCAGCAAACTCCAGCGTAGAAATTTTCCACGCCTAAATGTTTCAAGGACCGTTATCTTTATGCAGTTTAACTCGTTCCTTTTTCTCAATTGGGTGTTTGGTCCATAGTCTGGCTTCAGACGTACCTGAAATATATTTTTTGGAAGGAGAAGGCGAGCGCTGAGTGATAGTATTTATTGTAACTTTTCAATCCTGGCTGGGACTCACTGCCAAACTATAATGTGTGTGAATGAATTGGGTCTGCTTGTTCCTTGCACTGTGGTTTGCGTCTCAAGTGTTTGTCCATCGAATTCGCGTTTTTCATTCGTTTTACAATCTTTGCTTAATGTTTATCGATCTTGGCGTTTCGATTGAATGAGTTGGTCGAATAGAGCGCTTCACGGATCAGACGTTTCCTCTTCCTCTTTGCCCTTGCCGCTACTTTTCCGTCGTTGATTATGACCTCGTGACCTTTCGTTGCGCAGTTGTTCCAGAGGTGTGACTTCGGGTTAGCGAGTCGCTCTGCAAGTGTGTTTGTGTAGGCGAGTGCTCATTTGTTTGCATGTCTCC